TTGTAGAAAGCAACACATTTTTAATTTATTATGTCAGTCAGTGTTATGACTAACACAGTAAATTGTTCTTGCGTCAGTTTTTAATGCAACTGACACAGAAAATCAATTCAAATTTTCCCTAACAGTATTAGGGTCACTAAGACTTAACTTTTAAAAGCATAGTAACATAGCTATTCATATGGCCCCCTCGACTCGAAACCTCTTGCCCTACATTATTGATGCTTTCCTAACATTTTTGGCGTTCTCCACCACTCCGTCGCCATCTATAGTATGTGGTCGCATCTTGCACCTGATTTTCACTTTTTTGGTAACAGCCTAAAAGTTTAATCCTAAGACTTGACGAGTTTAGGTTATGATTATGGGAGAAAATGAGGATTTAGTGGTCTAGCTTGATTGGTTTGAGGCATGAAAATACTAAAGACGATGAGTGAAAGGCATATATTGGAATCAAGTCTGAAATTGGGGGGTTTTGTTTGTTTTGTGTTGCTCACCATGACAAAACATTGCAAAATAGCAGAGTTTCCTTTTCATGTTGTTCATTGTGGTAAAGGGGTTTGTTTACGGACATAAAATCACAAATAGTACTCTTCCTGGAAAACAAACAAAATTTGATAAATGCCATGAGTAAATATTGTTAAAAAACAAAAAGGAGGAAGATGATGAGTCGGTTTGCTCTTCTACTAAAAAAAGAGAGTTTACCAATCAAGGCTTTCCAAATATTACAGCAGGTGTTCCTAACTTGTTTTCTACTCAAAATGAGACTTTTAGTGCAAAGATGCTGTCAAAAGGAAAAATTTTAGAAATAGCATCAGAAGTTACAGTTGAAAATTTGACAAGTATAAACTTTCAATGGTGACATCTAAAGTTATCACTGAAGGGCAAAGAGGTGCTCAACTTTTATAGTAGTCAATGCTGAAAGGAAAGCCCTGACTAATGACTTCTTAGAGTTGTCATTAACCAAATTCTAACAAAATAAACTTTGGGGGAATTACAATTCAGTCCCACATAAGAGAATAATTACCAAAAAGTTCCAATAACAACCTCAACAGCTTATAATGACAAGTCTTATAGTGAGAATGACAATGTTTGAGACTTATTTTTAATTATTTTTCTTGTTGGGGACCTCATTGTAATTCTCCCATAAACTTTCAACAACAACTTTTAACATTTTTAATGTTTTCGTTAAAAGATGCACTTTTAGTAACAATTTTTTAAAGTGTTGCGAAAAGTCTCTCTAAAAATTAAATTTTTAGCAGCAAGTCTATCATGATGATAGATATTTTATTCTTTTTGTAATTGCAGGTGTCACGTTAGGTTTTATTAAATTAGTGGATCAACTTAAAATTCGATGAAAATTTATGAGACGCTACTGAAGGATTGGAGTAGCTATTGGATGCTGCGTTGTACAGTACTGTGCGAGGCAAAGATGGCTTTAGTGGGACGGTAATTGTAAGATCCTACCATCCACGCAACACCTTACGGTTGTGGTTGAGGATGACGTTGGAAGCATATATGACACAGTGTGTGTGTGTTTCCATATATGTTGCTTCCACTAAGACAGAAATACATTTTTTTATTTTCCAAATTTAAATGTGATTTTGCTGAAAGTTAATTGGTTTATTTTATGTATATAGACACACAAAAGAGTGAAAGACAAATGTTTCCCATCAATGATGCCTTTTAGTGGGTAGGGCATTAATGGCTGCTTACCTTTTAAGAGAATAGAAAGAAGTTTCAGGGCTTTCCCTGAAAACCGCAGGCCAATTAGGTCAATGACCTCAGTTTGCTCTCAAATGTACTCTCCAGTGCTTAGAGAATCTTATGAATCCTTTGGAATAATGTAGTTCAGAGAAACTGCATTATTTTGTGATTTTGATTCTGATGCATTGGTGTCTAAATCTTCCAAGAATCTGGAGGTTTATAGAATAAATGAATATAATCTTGATTTTCTTTGGATAAGAAAGATTTTGTTATTTTTCCTTTACAAATGAGACAAATACAATGCACAATTTCCACATGACGAAAATTTAATTTTAAAAGAAGTATTGATTTTCAACTAGCTTTTTTTTTCCCCAGGCATATTCTCTTGTTGGGAGCAATTTTGATCAAGGTATTGTCACTCATTAATTTAGACCTTAGTTTATCACATTGTGAAAAAGACTAGTCCTGCTAAACTTGACCTTGTTGATTTTTAAGAAATTTTGTCTAGACTATACGGAAAGAGGGGTTCATTTTAAGAGTATTGATTCTACATTCAGGAGTCACCATATGCAAAAGTAGCTAATTTGTTGGTCCAAAAGAATCATAAAACTTTAAAATCAGAAGGTCTGCTTATTAAGTTAACCTAAAAATATCTGACATTACTATTCTCTCTATTGAGAACCTAAAAATAAATAATTTTGATTATGTGTATCTGTAAAGCAATATGAAGTCCTTTATTTCTTGAGGTTACATTGTGCATCAGTTTAATGCTTCTCCACTAAGGCATGCACTATCTTTCCCTTTATTTAGGCATGCACTCTCTTTCCTTTATTTTCTTCTCATCTTTTTTTTTTCATTTTATATATTTATATATGCGTTGGAATCTTTCTCATCTTTAGTATTAGTGCCTTGCCAGGCAAACGTCTCTTGGAAGTGCATTGCCCATCAGTTTTCATGGATAATGGCTATTGATTGTATTCTCATGTGGAGGAAACCATAATCCCATATAATATGTGTGTCTTATATATATATATATATATATATATATATATTTATATATGCTAGTCTAAGGATAGATCCACTGGATCATAAAGTGGGGAAATTGAGTTCAAATCCCACTTTGTTAAATAAGACTCATGAGGAAAGGTATCCTAATCACAAAGTCTCGATTTAGATCAGTCAGTTGCTTGGATAGTAATAGGATTGAGGGGGAAAAAAATCATACACCAAATTCCCTAAGGAGTTATCAAATACTCTTCTGGTTCTTAATATAGGACCTAATTGTTAAGTTGATTTTGATCCTAAATATAAGATTTATTTTATCATATTTATCAATTTTTTTCTAAATTACTCTATAGATACTCCCTCAACTGTAATCAAGTAGAATATGGAGGGAGGATATTAAGGAAGATGATTATGATATTTTAGAAAAAAACATGTTATATTTCCTACAATTAACTAACTTACCTAATTTTTTTAATCTAATCAAATTGTTAAATAGGTTTTATATTAGGACCGGAGGAGTATATATATATTTAGAGAAAATTCACCTAATTCCCACAATGTAAACTTAACTTCCAATCAATCCCAAGATAATCTAAAATTTCATTTTCAGTCACCTCGGCCCAAAATGAAATTAAGTTTGCAAAAGAAAATGACCATGTTGCCTCTAAAACTTGTAACAACCTCATAGGTATTTTGCAAGTCAAAATATGTATTTTCATAACAAAAAAATAGCTTAATAACAATTGCACATACACAAATTTATAACTCTCAATTTTCACAATAGTAACCTGTGAACATGAAAAATTCATAACTACTCATACGTAAGTATGCAAATTATACCCACTTTTAGCATAGCAATAAGAAAGCTAAATAACAATTGCATATATAAAAAATTTTAACTCTCAATTTTTATTATCACAAACATGAATATGAAAAATTCACAAGTGTTTATAAGTAACTTTGCAAGTCAAAATATATATTTTAACAACAAAAAATAGCTAAATAATAATTATTCATATGAAAATTTACAACTCTCAATTTTTATAATAACAAGATGTGAACAAACAAAATTCAAAAGTACTCATAGGTAAGTTTTCAAGTTGAAATATGCATTTTAACAGCAAAAATTAGCTCAATAACAATTGCGCATATGAAAATTTACAGCTATCAGCTTCCATGATGTACTCCTTGTGAAATAATAACACATTCCTTCCATTCCATATCATATCACACACTCAAGCACATGAATTTTTTTATGTTAAAAACGTAGCTTGTTATTATGAAAATTAAGTTTTATGAATTTTTATATGTATAATTATTATTTAGCTACTTTTTGAGGTTAAAATACGTATTTTGACTTGCAAATTTACTTACAAGCACTGGCAAATTTTTTATATTCACATCTTGTTATAATAAAAATTGAGAATTGTAAGTTTTATATATATATATATATATATATAGTTAAATGTGTATTTTGACTTGCAAACTTGCTCATGAGTACTTGTCAATTTTTCATGTTCACATCTTGTCATAATAAATTAAGAGTTGCAATTTCCATATGGATCATTGTTGTTTAACTTTTTTTTTTTTGGTCAAGATGCATATCTCAGCTTGCAAACTTATAATCACTTGTGAATTTTTCATGTTGACATCTCTTGTTATAAAAATTGAAAGTTTATATGTATGGTTGTTATTTGGCTATTTTTTGTTACTTATAAAACTTACTTATGTGTTTGTTAAAATTCTTAGGGGTAACATTGTCATTTTCCTTTCAAAGTTAATTTCAGTTTAGGCTAAAGAAACTGAAATGAAGTTTCAGCTTGTTTGAGGACGAGGGAAATTAAATTCTAACTGAGACTTAATTCTCTCATATACAACAATATATATATATATATATATATATATTATATATATATAAATAGCGCGCGCATACGCACGCCTCTCTCCCCTTCCCTGTGGAGTGGGTTAGATGCAATACCAATCTTTTTATATCCAACCATTTTGGCATGGTGTCTGTACAGTGAAGACTGGGAACATAAAATTGTCAAACAAGCGTTTCAATATACTTTTCATCATATATTTAAAACACAATTGATAATTTTTTGGGGTCTTTTCAACTATATAATCTTGCGTGTCGTTTTTTTTTTTTTTTTAAAAGCAAAATTCTCCGCGCCCATTCTTTGCGACATCTTGTGGTTATTTTCCTAGTAACTAGATTTTACTCGCCCGTGCGATGCACGGGAAATGTATAATTACATTTATAGCATTGATGACAATCAATAATTTACTACAGACTAAATATTTGTACTATTTACATTTGTAAATATTTCTTTGTACACAACATTTGTTGTAGTTCTCTTCAAACAACCATCTTTATCATCAACAACAATCCTTAAACCATCCATGCTCTTTACTCTGGATAACGCAACATATAGCTGTCCATGACTGAAAACAGGCTTAGGCAAATATAGACCAACATGCCTTAATGATTGGCCTTGACTTTTGTTGATTGTCATTGCAAATGATAACATTATCGGGAATTGCCTCCTTTGCATTTTAAACGGCCAACGACTTTCAGAAGGATTCATATCCATTCGATGAATTAGAACTTTTTGGTTGGGTTTTGACCCATTCAATGTTATGGCTTCAATCACGCTTTGTCCCAGATGAGATATTAGAAGTCGTGTCCCATTACACAGACCTGAAGCTTGATCTATGTTTCGCAATAGCATAATTGGTGCTCCTACTTTCAAGTGTAACTTGTGTGGTGGCATTCCAGAGCATGTAATACTATTTAAGAATTCTGTGGTATAGAGGCTGTCCATTGTATCACTTTCTTGACCAGATCTGCACACATAATCACAGCTGAGGAACTCAAATGATTCTCCTGGTAACAAAGAACAGACGTAGTGATTTATTCGATCAACCATTTCAATTGTTGGGGCCAAGATTGCTCTATCATTGAAGTATTCACCAGAAGCTAAATTATGAAGGAGATTTGTGTATATACTATCCACAATCGCATGAAGTGGGTTGTTATAATTTGTGAGCAACAACTCTTTAGGGATTTCAACTTCTGCAACACCATCACTTGATTCACCTAATTTTCCATCACCAATATGTAGCAACCAATTTGAAAACCATTCTAACTTTTCTTTATGACTGGGAATAGCAGTTGAAGTCAGTCGCATGTTCTTTGTTAACTTCAAAATTCTACAATGATTCCATAAGTATGAGGAATTAATTGAAGCATTAACAATTGTAGCTCTTGTACCTTTTGGTATGACTGGAAGAATTTGACGAAAATCACCACCCATGACAATGCATTTACCACCAAATGGTGCATTAGAATGCATAATATCCTTCAACGTTCTATCAAATGCTTCAATACAATACCTCTGAACCATCGGTGCTTCATCCCAAATGATTAACTTTGTGGACTTAATCAGATTTGCTAGTGCTGAGTTTTGCTTTATCCCACATACAGAAGACTCTGTGATTTGAATGGGGATTGCAAACCTTGAATGTGCTGTTCTGCCAGATGGTAATAATGTTGCAGCTATTCCACTTGATGCAACTGGAAGTACAATTTCACCTTTTGCACGTAATGTTGTTATCAATGCATTCCAAAGAAATGTTTTGCCTGTTCCACCATACCCATACACAAAGAAAAACCCACCGTCAGATAGATTAACTGCGGACAATATGATATTATATATGAGTAGTTGCTCATCATTCAAACTCTGGGAAAGTGTATTAGCTTCCTCTGATAAGGCTTGTCTATCATAACTCAATTCTTGCAGTATGAGATGGTTGTGTAGATCAACTGTTGCAGTTTCTGTTGGTAACGGTAATGAAGGAAATTCATGTAGACTTTTCCCATTTGCATGAAGTAGATTATCAATCTCTTTCAAAGCAGCATTCTCTTTTTCAGATAGAGAGATATGGATATCTACAAAAGATAACCAACCAGTAATAGAAACGTGAATATTCTCCATAGATAAACATACTTTGTATAAAATATAAATTAAAGTTATCGAACCTGATGAGACTGGATCATTATAAGATATGTAAAATAGATCTTCTGAGAGTAGCTTTGAGGTTTCCTTCCATACAATGTCAGGTTGTTGTAAAGAACAACATAATAACATGCTTACAAAGAGCCTCCTTAATTGAATTCCAGATGCCCATATGGCTGCTTCCTTGATTGCAGTAATGTATTCATTATCATCTTGTAAGAGTCCCAGAGCAAAACATGCAGATTTGAAAGTATCATGAACCATACCATCAACAGTTTTGATATCATCAAATGAGGTGGGACCCCTTACAGTAGTTAGTAACAATCTAAGATAATATAATTCTCCAGATGATGGTGACACATGTGTGATCCTACCAACAGCAAAACCTCTTTCTCGCTGTTTCCATTGACGTTTATCTTTTTGGTAGACGTAATAATTAGGAAATTCAGCATATGTAAGAGTTGAAGCCAACCCGCCATCTTTATTGATTTTCATCCAAGCCAAGAATTGTGATTCACAAATTCTTGGTTTTTCTAATAACTCCGCAACATCATCAGTATTAGAATAAATCACATATTGTTGATTTGGTAGATGAAAACTCAATCTTTCAACAGGAGGAAAATGATGGTGGACATCAAATCCAAACATGCGCCATGATGCTTCACATGCAGAGATATACCTACAATTGTAATATTGTTTTATTTCATCAATCACTTCTTCTTGATTGTTGTCCTTATCAAATATAGTAGCAACAACTCTATCATTGCCTTTGCTAATATATTTAAATAAGTATTTAATTGAAGTAGATTGATTGCATTTCTCAACATTTATATGTCCTTGAAACATGCACAATAATGTAGCATTATATGGAACAACATAACGATTATCTAAAGGAACACCTTTAACTTCAATTGTTCTTCCATCATTCTTTCTTCTATATGTTGGATAACCATCATCATCAATTGTGGTATTATCATTGAATTTTTTTGGGAAATACTTGCCACATTTCTTGTCTTTCATGCATGGTGATTTTGGGTTAACAGCTCCACATGGACCATGAATCATGTATTTTTTACCAAATCATATAAGAGAGGTGAAGAATGCTTATCTGGAATCTCTGCTGAAATAACTTTGTCAATGGCATCCGGATCATTGATCTTATCATTTGGATCAAGAAATAATAATATATGTGCATGTGGCAACCCTCGTTTCTGGAATTCAATAGTATATACCTCTGTAAAAATTAAGATTGGTTAAAACAATTATAATAAATAAATTTTAAATTTATATAATATTTTACATGTTTGACGACATTACAAAAATAATAAACACTAACCTGCACGTATTGTTCCAAAAATCTTCTTTTCCCCTTAATGTTTTCATCAATGACCGTAACTTCATTTTGAAAACTCTAGTCAATATCCGGACGATCTGAAGGATTTACTTTATCTTGTTGACAAAGCCTTGTGATTTCTGGCCATGCTGGATTGCAAGTGAATGTTATAAATATATCTGGATAGCCTGCCCATCTACATAATGCCATAGCATCTTGATAATTTTGCAACATATATCTTGCTCCACCAGTAAATGATGAGGGTAATATAATACGTTTCCCAGTAAGTGAAGCATTCCTCTCACCACTTAAAACAGCATCAGATAATCCTTGGTACAAATCAGCTCTAAGTTCTTTTTGATGAGTTCTAACCCAAAGCATCTTTGTGACTCAATCATAGTGTAACCATCCACAATGAATTGTTGAAGTAATCTTGATGCATGTAACAATATTGACATCTCGTTTTCTCTTCTCATAAGTCTGTATGTGAAAAATTCTCGTATGCTTAACCTTTTTCTTGACTTTGTAACTGGAAGAGTTTCTTCTCTGTGTTCAATATCATCTCTGTATCCATCTTCACCATAAGGAAACAGCAGAGGATATTGTAGAGGTAAATATGCTGGATGTAATTCATTAATTCGCTGTGGTGTCCCTGATTGCTCTTCTATGAATAATGTCCCTGACATTGAACATAATATCTATGTCACCGACAATCAATGCTGCAACTTCAGAAGCACAGGGAAGATTGTAGGTTCGCCCATCATTTGCCCTTGAACTCATCAAGCATAATCTCAAATTTTGACGGTGTTCTGTACTTAAAAATTGTGAAGCAAAACGATATTGTTGTACAAATGGATTAACTTCATCCAATTGAGTCTTTATTTGTGCAACAATTCTTCTATCAATTGTTGATTCCCTTTGGTGTTTACTGGAAAAAAGATAAATATGAAGTTCATAAATTTAAATTTATGAATAATAAAAATTCAAATGATAAAATAATAAAAATGTAGTAGCAAGTAATACCTGACAGCAGCAACTCTGTTTGAGATCTCATTGTCAGTATCAAATATGTATAGTTGTGAGTACACTGGTTGTGAACCTTCAATTGGTAATAAGCTGCCAATATTATGATAATTTTGTCCAGACAATATGAATGAGTAAGGACCTCCACCGGAATTTTTAGAATGATCAATCTTTCCTCCCATAGACGTGAAAGAGAACATGTTATTGTACTGCCTTATATTTGTATGAAAATTCTTTGAGTCTGCGGTATCCTTTTCTAGAAATAACTCTTGGAAGAGAACAGGCGGTGCCTTCAAAGGGGGTAGTACTATTTTGCCTTTCATACAACACATTGAAAATGTATTAACCACCCTTTTTTTATTATCTTTCTTCACTCTTTCATTATATACCAAAGTAGGGCTCCACAGAATTTGCATTTATGTATTGGATCTCCCTCATCAATGTATTCTAATAAAAGATAAGAAGTGAATTAGTTTTATATGAGGAATAAATTATGGCGTGAAGATTCAAATTTAAAGGAAATAAGATTACCTTCATAATTAATATCATTCTGGAAACATGTTCTTCTGGTACTATGATCTAAATCAGAATTACTACCTGAGTGGCACGTATCAAAATATGGTCATATTTAACAAAACTATCATATATACTATAATCCATACATGTACACACACATATATGTGAAAATATGAAATAATAACAAATATAATAGCAAAATTACACGTAGTAACCTGCAACATTTTCAGTGTTTGGAAAATAATCTTCACAATCATCTCTATCGCTAGCATCAATCATCAGATGAATGTCCTTGTAATATTTTTCTTGTGGTGTGAAATCTACAAGAAAAAAGGAAATTATCATGTATGTACAAAACTCCCATCATCACTTTTGTAAATTGAATTAATTATAGGGAGAATGAAAAAGAACAACCAAGAGGGAGTGATATTTATGGAAAGATGATAACAATTAAATTTATTTAAAAGAACCAAATATTGAAGTATAAATTTAAAGCACTATATTGTCCTTATCCAAACGTTCTACACTTTCTCCTATATTTTCTCCTACATTTTATTTTTAAAACTAATATCAATTAATAAAATTCACTAAATTAAACGGACTTTCTTTCACAATTTACAACATGTGTAAAAATCAATGAAAAATATGCAAAAAATTTTTTAGTCAAGTAAAAATCAAAGTTTTCTATTGTTTAAAAGAATTTATTTTTTAAAACCATTGTAGATTTTAATTAAAATTAAAATATTACATAAAAAAATGGAAACTTTAAATTTTTATATCACCGAACAATATTTATATATTTTTAATTGATTTTTACATAACTTGTAAACTTTAAAGGAAATGAGGTTGAGTTTAGTGAAATTTATTAATTTGTACGTTAATGATATTTATTCAAGTTATCTGTTATCAAATATACTTTATTGGAGAATAAACATCTGTTACATCTAAACCCATGTGCTTTATGTAATTGTTAATATTCAAACCAATAATACCTTGCTCTGTTACATACATTAGAAACAATGTGACTCTTAACTATGTTGTTTGAAATTAATTTCATTGACTAACCTTGCTGTAGATTACTTGTCTTTCTTCTTCTACATGGAGGTTTGTTGACATCATTATTTCCCAGACCTCTATTCCTAGCACTTTTTCGGGGGTTAGAGGTTGCACTCCAAAATGTGGTCTTTTATGGTTGACAAATTGAAAGTTGCAAATGCCTGTGTCATACAAATATAGGATTAAATAGAATTATGGTAATAGATATTGAAACATAACACATACCTGTGAGCATATTCCTTTGAAATCTGTTGTTAGATTGGAAGATACGTTTGTTATATCTTGCAGCATAATAGGTTTTTTTCTTTCTTTGTGTAGAACATCAGTGGATGATTGAGTATTGATATCATCTAAAACATCGCCAAAACCTTGATTTTTTTCAACTCCCATATAAGTATGTGAGTCTTCTTTATTGTTTCCAGCAGAAGATGAACTCGAACAATGGGTTTCAGCTAAATTGATTAATCCTAATAAGAACATAGAAATTAGGACGTCATAAATAGAACATAATACAGAAATAGGAACATATGTCTAAAATTATCCTTATCATAAGAATTTATTTTTCATGTGTAAAGATAATACCTGACGAAAAGCATCCATTAACATATGATCCATTGCCCATGGATGGTGAAGATGATGTTACGCATTTACCGCTATATCTGTGGGTAGATTTCAAATGGAGCTTGCGCTCAAATATATTACTGGAAGACATGGGTTTAGAACATACAAGCTATTCTAATATTCGAGCAATAGTAGCATCTAAAATGAGAGGCAAACAACTTTGTTTTTAATGCAATAGAAACAGGTATGTGTATGTCCTTATATATATATGTATATATATAAAAGACGATGTTGATCTTGATGAATAGTAACAACTTTCTTGACATTAGTTTATAACCATTGGATAGTTTTATTTCAATCCGACTCCTTCAATCTCATTGGCTACTTCACTGTCTATCCATGCCATTGCTTTTATTAAATATTATTTTTTCATATACATATTACTAAGTGAACAGCACTAACACTGTACGAAATTGATAGCAAATGTGTGGGAAATTGATGGGAAGTAACTGTGGCAAATTGATGGCAAGTGACTGTGGAAAACTCATGGTATTCACTTCGACTTGACGTGTATCCGTGCCGTGTGGAATAAATGTTGCAGCATTATATTATCTTATAGAACAATTCTAATTATTATATATACTATATGCTTGTGCAGACCGAATAAAGATACTTTGATAGCAAAACGAAGATCTAAATTTTATTTCATTTTTATTATTCATTAGAGATACTAATTTTGGTCTTAAATATAACACATATTTATTATATTTATTTATATTTTCTGTAAATTATCCCTATGAGTACTCTCTGAACTATAATCAATACAAGACGAGCGGGGCAGGATTATGTTTAAAGAAGATGATAATGGTATTTTAGGATAAACGTGTCATATTTTTTATAATTAACTAATTATCTAACTTCTTAATATAATCAAATTAGTTAAATAGGTTTTATATTAAAGATCGGAGGAGTAACAAATAAATATTTAATCCTATTACAATACCAAAAAATATGTTTCATAAGTTTTTAAGCTTTATATGAAGTTTGTGTATTTATTTTCAAATAGCTCATAAGATATGAGTTTTGTTCCGCAAGCAAAAGAAATTGCATAATTCATTTCAACATTTGTTGTCAATGGATTCTGTATAACGTATCCTTAAATATAATCCTGATGTTTAAGAGGATGTGTCCTCAAGATCTGAAATATACATTTATATGTGTGTGTGTGTCATCAATATAACTTCAAACTTTTTTTATAATCTGGATATTCAAATAAGATAAAGTGAATGTTTAAAATTTCAAGTAGAAAAATAAAACATCATTTTTTGCCACCCAATAATTGTTTTAAGCTAAAATTAAAATATAAAAATGTAATTAGCCTATTAGTCTGAATTTTTATGGGAAAACAGTAAAGTTAAAGTGAATCCCCGTATAAATTGTATTTTATACTAATATTGTTCCCACAATAACCTATATGATGAAGTCAATCATTTCCAATATATCGTCCTAGATTCAAATAATTCATAAAGATACGAAATAGAATCATTAACTTGAGATGAGAGCAACTAAACCATGA